TTTTTTTTTTTTTTTTTTTTTTTTTTTTTTTTAAAAAAAAAGGCAGAAGAAGAACCCAAACTTCTTGTCTGGGGAAACTGAGAAGAACTCTCATTACTTGCTTGTTTCTCTTTCTGTTTGTATGGACTCACTGTGCACCTGGCAGTGTTCCAGGTTTTTTTCCCAAGAGATCAAAGCTTCCATCAGTGGGACAGAAGCAAAGAAGTGAGCAGAACTTGGTGCAGTCCAACACTTTGCATAGTCACATCTCTCCCAGGAGCCTGATTTAGGTCCCCAAACATAGAACTTCCTACATGCCAAAGAGCCACTCTCTTCGGTCAAAGGAGCCACTTCCTCAAATAAAATTTCTCTCACATCCTTCACCCAGGCTCAGTTTCTCACTCTGCATGTGTCCTTCCTTCCCATTTCTCACCATCAAATCGCCATCCCTTCCCCTGCAGACATATGCCATACGAAAAGGCACACAAAGCCCTTGCGGGAGAAGCACAGCTCCTACGCAGGCACTGTGCTCTGCTCAGTGGCATGCCTTCTTGTCTGAAAATGCGTGTAGAGACAGAGCATGCAAATCGCTTCTTTTCCAACATGTATATGCTGCATGTTTGAGGGGAGGTATAAAACTCAATTTCTAAGGTTAAAGTAAATCATGGGAAGGATTATCTCCATCAACAACACAAAATCCATGCCAGGCTGTTGAACAATTCTGCTGTTTTTCAAAACAGCAGGCAGCAGCCCTGCATAACAATTAATTAAATTTCCCCATGTTAAATTATGCCATAGTTAACCCCCAAACTCCCTTAAACTGATGAATAAGAAATCTTCCATTTTTATCAGTGTGCACTTTCTTCTGAAAGTCAGCACTAGTCCTTAGACTCAGAGCTTTTCCAAACCAATTTAGCCTTCAAGTGGATGGTGCCCTTAGGGAACACAGCCAGAAACCAGCAGGAGGACCAAGCTCTAAATCATCTGAAGACTTTTTCAAGTGTTTTCAAGGACCTGAGAGCTGAGTTATTTCAAAAAGTAAATTTAAGCAACTCAGTGTAAGAAGCTAAAGACAAGTTTGAATATGTTTGCAACTTGTAGCCCACTACACAGGAATGAACCTGAACTTGATTCCTGCAATGCAGCAGGGCGGTTCTTATATTCTGAGTTCAATAGCATTTATTTCTGGGGAACACCTTGTATCTTGGGGAGGGGACAAACAAGCTTGCACGGGCTCATGTGTATGGAGTAGGGATATGGGGGTTATTAAAGGATTAAGAGGGACTGATGCTCTTTGGCAACTGAAGTATAAACACTAGGAAGTGAAAGAGCTAAATAGCTCAAATACTAGAGTGCCATTGGAATAAACAATTATAAATTGGTTGTGAATAAGCATCAGCCCGATGCATGACTCCTAACCTCAAGAAGGCTTTGGAAGGAATGATCAGCAACAGCTGAAGACTTAGCTTGATTTGAAGGAGAGAGTTGGGTGAGCAGGGGGAGATAACATCACGGTGATATGCATTTCCAGTTTAGTGGTCCCTTGAAGCACAAGGACAGACAAGTTTTCACAAGGTAAATGTCATTATCAGCCCACCTAACACAGTACCTCAGAACTACTGACACTCTCTCCACCCCAAAGAACAAAAGGCCTGGCATCACTCAGGCTGGACTCTCAAGTACATGAATGACAGTTCCTCAGAGGAATATAGTGCACTCCCTGCACACAACTGACCAAAACCCAGCCCGAATGCTGGCTGGTGTCTGAGACGGGGAGTCTAAAGAATCTTAGATTGATGGTGCAAGGCCTGTGCAAAAACAAGGGGAGGCGTATGGGACTGTTCGAAAAAGACATACCAAGTACTGATAACGTTGCTAGGCGATTATCTCCTAGCCCAAAGAGAAGTCCCCCCTAGTCCTTGAAGAACAGACTAACCAAAACACCAGTATAAACTGGCCTGGAAGAAAGCCAGAGAACAACTGAGGCTGCGCAGAGCGACAGGGTGAAAAGTTCATCAGCGAGGAAGAAGCGGTACTTCATCTTTACGACCCCTCCCCAGGAGATTGTGACCCCAGCCCGGAGCTTGGAGAGCTCATCGCGCAGGCGCAAGAGGAGGAGACCTGATCACCATGAGAAGCGAGGGGAGGCGGGGGTAGACTATGTATATGTACAGGCGTTCTATGAATATGCACTATTTTGTAACATATAAGCCAGACGGGAGCTGCAAACGATGCGCATGCGTGTGGTGGAGCGATCCCCCATGCGCCCAGCACTGAATAAACATACCCACTTTATAACCCCAAAAGTTATAGAGTGATTTCTCCGCAAAACATCTTGGCACCCCAGATGGGACCTATCTCTGCTCGGCTTCCGGGACACTGCTGGAGGGTGGACGTCCTAGGTGCACCCCGAGCTCTTCTCGGAGGAACTCCGCTCCCAGCTGTCCACTGCGGGAGCAGACAAGGACCATCTGGTTCGCGGACAGAGGTATGTTTACAAGGGTAACGGGCTGCTGGTAAGACGCACAGAGACGTCTGGCGCACGGCTCAGTCCCGAGGAGGGGGTGTACCCATTTGGTTTTGGCTTTGGGAATCCGCGGGAAAGTAAGATCTTTTGGGGCCAACTACCGATGACTGGTATATAAGAGGCAGTTTGCATTTTGGGCAGGGTACTGGTAATTCCCGTCACCTGCAGGATCTTGCTTTAGGTCATTGTATAGTGCACTAATGGTGGATATACTGGCTTTGAACTGACTGCTAATTGTTATTGGTTCATGATATATGTTACAAACGGACTTGGTGATTGTTTGAACTCGGTATATTTTGTGGTATGAGTGACAAGTGTGATGGGCCCTTTAAGTGTCTGTGTGCCGCTGTGTGAGTGAGAGCAGCCGCTGCTGTGTGTCTGTGTGTCTGCGTGCCTGCAGGGGCAGGGTGTGAGTGAGAGGCCGCTGCCGCTGTGTGAGTGAAAGGCAGCTGCTGCAAGATAAATGAGAAGTTTATGAGAAGTTTATGTTTGTTTAAAGAATACACTGTTCTTGTATGTCTTGTGAAAACATGAGCCGGAGATGGGAAAGTGAATCCCTTCTCTGTCAGTTTGGGTTAGACTTGGTTGGATTATTTGTGTAGAAGGAGTGAATGGTCGGCACGGGGAAATGATTTATACCTGCTAGAAGGATTGTACACAGCTCCTTCTGGGTAACTGGTAGTACCAGATTGGGTTCGTGAGAGAATTCCCTGCTTTCTCTGTGCTCCTATGCTCTTATTTTTGGTAATTTTCATCAAGCCTGGGTATTAGCAAAGTGCATTCTTGATATAAGTGGTATTGTCTGATAAGAGGAGGTCGAGGTGTGCGGAGTGCTGAGAAGAAGCGGTGTCATTAGACCTCTCGGTCGAAAGACAGGAGTTGATAAATATTGTGTGGAAGAAGTCATAAGATACCGGAACTTTTGGAAGTGAAGGAGGAAGAGTGGGAGAAGGTTGAAAGACAGTGTAGAAACTGCTATAAGTGGAGAGAAAGGATTTTGGGAAGAAGGAACAATTATGGGAAATAAGCAGGGAAAAATTGTAAAAGAAAAGCCCATTAGATTGCATACTCACGCACTGGAAAGATATAGCCGGGAGGGGAAGTACGGAAAGCAAGAAAACCTTGATTAAATATTGTAACCAGTGGTGGCCACTTTACAGACTAGAAGAGGAGGCTAAATGGCCACTAAATGGAACTTTAGACTATCATACACTATTACAATTAATGTTATTTTTACGGAGGGAAGGGAAGTGGGATGAGGTGTCTTATGCGGACATGTTCTTTACCCTCCGAAATCACCCGGGGTGGCAGAGGGACTGTGCACTAGTTCCACCATAAGATCCTTTAGTGCTTGCCCTGGAAAAGATTATACGGGAGCTACTAGCTACTATTTTTACAAACCTTTGAAATATAAACTGGGAAAGCAGTTAGGCATACACAAATTTCTGTATATGCCTTACTCCACAAAAGAGCTCCTAGAAAGACACTTACTAGAACAATTAGGAGCAACTATTACCTTTAGCAATGGAGAGATTACTCTGGAGGTAAATGACCAAGAACTTATACAAATCATGAGCTTGTCCCTAACTAGTATCCCCACAGGAGGAGAAATCAGTGAGGAAATTATCAATCAAATGTATCCCGGAGTGTGGGCCACTGACACGCCTGGAAGGGCAAAGAATGCCTCACCCGTAGGGGTAAAACTTAAGGAAGGACAACAACCAGTAAAAATTAAGCAATACCCTTTAAAAGGAAGATCGGGAAGGGATCCAGCCAGTTATAGAAAAATTTTTACAAATAGGATTAATAAATAGATCTCCACCCAGTGGTGGCAAACCCATACACTTTATTGACAAAATTAACTCCTGAGCTAATCTGGTTTACTGTTTTAGACCTCAAAGATGCCTTCTTTAGCCTCTCTCTCCTCAAAGCCAGTCAGAAAATATTTGCATTTGAATGGGAAAATCCTAGGAGTGGGCGGAAGACCCAGTTAATCTGGACAGTGCTGCCACAAGGATTTAAGAACAGCCCCACTCTATTCGGTAACCAGCTAGCAAAAGACCTCGAATTGTGGGAAGCCCCAACCCCACCCGAAGAGGGAAGGCTGCTGCAGTATGTAGACGACATCCTGATTGCCACCAAGACAAAAGAAACCTGTATGTCTTGGACAGTAAGCCTTTTAAATTTTTGGAGACTTCAGGGCTACCGAGTATCAAGAAAAAGGCCCAGGTGATGCAATGCGAAATGATTTATCTGGGCTATGAAATCGGTGCTGGAAAAAGAACCTTAGAACGACCCCGGAAGGAGGCGATCTGCCAGACTCCGAGGCCACAGACAGTGAAAGAACTGCAAACGTTCCTGGGAATGACTGAGTGGTGCAGACTGTGGATTTATAATTATGGATTGCTTGTTAAATCTTTATATGCACTAACTGCCACTCAACAGAAAAATCTCCAATGGAATAAGGAGGCTATACGAGCCTTTGACCTGTTAAAAAGGCTCTGATGTCAGCTCTGGCTTTGGGACTCCCAGATGTAAGTAAGCCATGCTTTCTCTTTTCACATGAGAAACAGGGAATTGCATTTGGAATACTGGCACAAGACCTAGGCCTGTATCGTTAGGCAGTCGCCTATTTCTCCAAGCAACTAGATACAATTGCTAAAGGTTGGCCTGGATGCCTACAAGCGGTTGCAGCAGTGATCTTAAATATACAAAAGGCACGAAAATTCACTTTAAGCCAGAAAATGATTGTATTTGTATCTCACACAGTATCTGCAGTATTGGAAATTAAAGGGGGACATTGGCTTTTGCCCCAAAGGTTCTTAAAATATCAAGCAGAATTAGTAGAACAGGATGATGTGAAGATTGTAGTAAATAACATTATTAACCCAGCTTCTTTCCTGAGTGGAAACACAGGAGAACCAGTGCAACGTGATTGCCTGGAGACCATCGAGGCAACATACTCAAGCCGCACAGATCTGAAGGATGCCCCTCTGGAAGATGATGAGAACTGGTTTACGGATGGGAGCAGCTATGTTTTGAGCGGCAAGAGGTATGCTGGGTATGCTGTTACTACCACCCAAGAAACACTGGAATCAGGACCACTGCCTGCGAATACCTCTGCACAAAAGGCAGAGATAATAGCACTGACTCGTGCTTTAGGATTAGCCCAAGGCAAGACAGTGAATATTTACACAGACTCGAAGTATGCCTTTGGGGTAGTCCACACTCATGGAGCAATTTGGAAGGAAAGAGGACTGTTGAACTCACAAGGGAAACACATCAAACATGAGAAGGAAATTCTGGAACTGCTAGAAGCTGTACCACTTCCAAGAAGAGCGGCAATCATGCATGTTAAGGCCCACCAAAAGGTGAACTCGGATTTGGAAAAAGGAAATGAACTGGCGGACAGAGAGGCAAAACAAGCAGCCAAAAGAGAGGTAAAAATAGAGGGAGTTTTAGTTCCTGATGGGCAAATCATCCCAGAAGGTAAGCCTAATTATACTAAAGAGGATCAAAAGTTAATTACAGACCTGGAAGGATCATATAATGAAGAAGGTTGGGCCATCACTCCCCAAGGGAAGGTAATAATTCCCTCTTGTTTAGCTAGACACCTGGTACGAGAGGAACACAGGAGAGGGCACTGGGGAGCGGAGGCACTATACCGATATTTGGTCAAGAGTATTAGAGCTAGAAATCTGTATACCATAGTAAGACAGGTGACTCAACAGTGTGACCTTTACCTCCAGACTAATCCTAAGAATACCCCCATTCTAGAAGTAGGCCAGATTGGAAAAGGAAATGGGCTGGGACAACAATGGCAAATTGACTTTTCAGAACTTCCAAGAAAAGGGGGGTATCGATATTTACTGGTATTAACGGATACCTTTTCAGGTTGGCCAGAAGCATTCCCCACTAGATCTGCCAAAGCCCGGGAAGTGACAAAAATATTAGTACAAGAAATAATTCCACACTTTGGGGTCCCAGCAACTATATCCTCAGATAGAGGACCACACTTTATCTCGAAATTAGTTCAGCAAATCAGTTGCCATCTGGGTATAGACTGGCAACTTCACATTCCTTATTGTCCCCAATCTAGTGGCCAAGTAGAAAAGATGAACCATTTAATTAAGCAGCAAATAGTGAAGCTCAGGCAGAAGTCAAACCTGACCCGGCCCCAGGCTCTCCCTCTGGCACTTTTGTGCATACGAGCAAAACCGAGGGCCAGGGAAGGGTTGAGCCCTTTTAAAATGTTATATAGCAGACCTTACGTGGTACAGAAAGGAACATTGATGCAAGTTTGGAAGAAACTAGGACTTCATACATGATAGCATTAAGTAAACAACTCAATAAAATTGGGAAACATGTATTTGGAACTCAGGGTAGAGGGTTAGATGGGCCT